CGCACACACACACACACACGCACGCGCACGCACGCGCACACACGCGCACACACGCGCACACACACACACACGCCCACACACACACACACGCACACACACACACACGCGCACACACACACACGCACACACACGCACACACACGCACACGCACACACGCACTCACACGCACACACACACACACACACACACGCACACACACGCACACACACGCACACACACACGCACACACACACACGCACACACACACACACGCACACACGCAGACGCACACACGCACACACGCACACACGCACACACGCACACACGCAGACACGCAGACACGCACACACGCACACACGCACACACGCAAACCCGCACACGCGCACACGCGCGCACGTGCACACGCGCACACGCGCACGCGCACGCACGCGCACGCACGCGCACGCACGCACGCCCACACACACGCACACACACACACACACACACGCGCACGCGCGCACGCGCACGCGCATGCGCACGCGCACGCGCACGCGCACGCGCACACGCACACGCACACGCACCCGCACCCGCACCCGCACGCGCACCCGCACGCGCACGCGCACGCGCACCCGCACGCGCACGCGCACGCGCACGCGCGCACGCACACACGCGCACGCGCGCACGCACACATGCACACACGCACACACACGCAAACACGAACACACGCGCACAGACACGCGCACAGACGCGCGCACACACACGCACACACACACACACACACGCACACACACACACACACGCACACACACACAGACACACACACACATAATCACACACACACATAATCACACACGCACACAAACCGGACACAGACAAACACACGCAAACACAAGCACAAACACACACCCACACACACGCATAAACGCACAAACACACAATCACAAACAAATACACACACACAAGCACACACACAAGCACACACAAAAACACACACCAATGCACACAACCACACACAAACACACGCAAACAAATACAACCACACACGACCACACACACACAATCACGCAGACACACACACACACACAGAAAAACACAAGGCGTCGTTCGCCGCCGTGGAACTGTTGTCGAGAGGAAACACCAGAAAAAGAGAACACAACCATATAGGTTGCCCAAGCGCAGAATGTACTCAGTCACAGTGGAGTTTCGCGCGCAGGCTTCTAACAACTTAGTCGGAAAGCACTATTTTGAAGAGATTGAGGAAAATTGAGGGTCATCTAAAAGAGTGCTCACATCCCATCAAAAATTGCCTAAAAGATGTGTAGACAACTGGAAGGAAAAGGCCCAGAACCCGACCAGCTTCCGGATCGTAGTCGCCATTTGGACTTTCAATAAAATTGAAAAGGTCACCAAGGCCTGCGAGAAGCGTAGCCCTTTTTTCTCACTCCTCCCACAAGGCCTTCAAGCTGGGCGGGCGGGTGTTGAGTGGGTGTGCTAATTAGGTGGCAGGCATGGATACAGTGCTGCGCCTATTAGGATGCAGGCGTGGATACAGTGCTGGGCGGGTGCTCTTGAGCGGGTGTACTTATTAGGTGGCAGGCCTGGATTCGGTGCTGGGCGGGGCGGGTGCTTTCCATTTCGCAGGCAGGCGTACAGCGCGGGTGTGCTTATTAGGTGGCAGACACGTACAGTGCTGGGCAGGTGCGCTTGAGGTGGCAGGCATGTGCGCAGCGAGTTGAACGGGTGTGCTTATCATTTCGCATGTGTGCAGTGCTGCTCGGATGCGTGTATGCGTCTCGACCACAGTTCCATGGCGGCGAACGGCGCAGAGGGCAACAACAACAGCAGCAGCAGCTGCAGCGACACCAACGACATCAACAGCAACAGCAACAGCAACAGCAACAGCAACAGCAACAGCAATCAGCAACAGCAACAGCAACAGCAGCCACAACAACAGCGACAGCAACAGCAACAACGGCGACAGCGACAGCAACCGCGACAGCGACAGCACCAGCAACAGCAACAGCAGCATCAACAACAACAGCAACGACAGCAAGAACACCCACGGCAAGAACAACAGCAACAACACCAACAGCAAGAACAGCAACAGCAACAGCGACAGCAACAACACCGCCACCGCCAACAACAACAGCAACAGCAGCAACAACAACACCAACAACAGCACCAGCAGCAACAGAAACAGCAACAGCAACAACAACAAGATCCAACAAGAACGAACAACCAACAACCGACAATCGACAACAAACAACCAACAACCAACAACCAACATCCAACAACCAGCAACCAACAACCAACAACCAACAACCAACCGCCAACAGCCAGCAGCCAACAGCCAAGAGCCAACAGCCAACAGCCAACAACCAAAAACCCAAAACCAAAAACACACAACCAAAAACCAACAAGCAACAACCAACAACCAATAGCAAACAAAAAAGAACCAACAACCAACAACCAACAACCAACAACCAATAACAACCGACCAACAAGCAACACGCAACACGCAACGAGCAACAAGCAGCAAACAACAGGCGACACGCAACAAGCAACACGCAACAAACAACAAGCAACAAGCAACAAACATAACAACAACATCAGCACCAACAACACCAACACCAACACCCACACCAACACCAACACCAACACCAACAACAAGAACAACAACAAGAACAATAACAACAAGAACAACGAGCGCCGCAAGAACAACAAGAACAACAAGAACAACAACAGCAACAGCAACAACAACAGCAACAGCAGCAACAGCAACAACAACAACAACAACAACAACAACAACAACAACAACAACAACAACAACAACAACAACAACAACGGCAACGACAACAACAACAACAACAACCACAACGACAACGACAACCACAACAACAACAACAACAACAACAACAACAACAACAAACAACGACAACGACAACGACAACGACAACGACAACGACAACAACAACAACAACAACGACAACAACAACAACAGCAGCAGCAGCAACAACAACAACAGCAACAGCAACAATAAATGCAACAGCAACAGCAAGAACAAGAACATGAACAATAACAATAACAAGACCAAGAACAAGAACAATAACAAGAGCAAGAGCAACAGCAACAACAGCAGCAACAGCAGCAACGGCAGCAACAGCAGCAACAGCAGCAACAGCAACAGCAACAGCGACAGCAACAGCAGCAACAACAACAACAACAACACCAACAGCAACAACAACAACAACAACAACAACAACAACAACAACAACAACAACAACAACAAGAACAACAACAACAACAACAACAACAACAACAACAACAACAACAACAACAACAACAACAACAACACAAGCAGCAGAAGCAGCAGCAGCAGCAGCAGCAGCAGCAGCAGCAGCAGCAGCAGCAGCAGCAGCAGCAGCAACAGCGCAACAGCAACCATGAGCAACAAACCCAACCCAACCCAACCCAACCCAACTCAACCTAACCAGCCCTTTCGTGCGGCGTTGCCCATGGCGCGTATTCGCCCGCTGCGGCGCGCCCGGGCGGAGAATCTGAGGTCTGACTCGCGGATCTGCGAAGATCACCTGCTGACCTTTGCTCGTCAAGGCGTCAGCTGGCGCGTGTGTTGAGTTGGTATCCTCTTGGGCAAGTCAGGCAACCCTTGGATTGTCGGTTGGGAACTGGAGGTTAGAACCACCTGGAAGCTGAATGTGCGCAAGCGGCAAGACGGGCCCAGGCTTGCGCACTTTGTGCCTGGCAGAGCGGATGCTTACCGAGGAGGAGTATCAGGCGCACAGCTTCAAGGGTAGAGTCACGCACATGGTTGTTGATCAATATTCCTGGCCCCAGTTTTGACCATCGGTAACTTTTCCCATCTGGGAAATATCATTTTGTTGGTGGTTTTCTCGATGGCCATCCCATGTAAAGGACCTTTCGATCAACCCAGGGGGTTTTCAATCAACATAGGGACTCCTCTTTTGGCTGGTTTAAAGACAAGGCAAGAGGAAACAAAAAAAAAATCGGCGCCCTTCGCGAATCACCCAAGGTCAAAACACCCAACTTTCACCTCGAAGTGGTCAGGAAAATCACGGCCGCCTTTTGTTTGAACTCATTCAAGGAGGCATGACCATGACCTACATGAGAAGAATTTACCTCCACGTGTAGGAGTAGGTCCTCGTAAGGGTGACCATTGACAATCTTCGGTTTATGTATTTGCATATGCATGTCATTTCCTGCACATGCGCAATAGAACCTGACAATGTTAGTTGTTGGTCTCTGGTTGTTTTTGGACGGACACTGCCGCCGAATTCCCCCCAAAAAAGCACAAGAAAACACAAAAAACGAATAGGGCTGACTCCCGACAGGACTGGTGCAAACGGTACTCGGCTGCGAAGGCACTGATCACAGAGGAGCCATGCCATGGCGCACCGGTGTTGGACCCGATCTTCGCTTGTTTGCAGTAGGCGGATGGCCCCAGAAGTTTTTGTGACTGCTCAATGAGAGAAATAAGTGAAGGGTGTTGTGAGCACTTGAAGTGAAGCAGATTTACTTGGATCCTAAAGGTACAAGCAAAAGTCAGTCAATAGATGAAAAAAGCAAGCAGCAACAATCCCAACTGGTGCGACGTGGATGCGTCCATCAATCAGGGCCTGCTGGCTGGTTGACTGGGAAGCCACAAGGCACTTGCTGGTGGACCCCGGTGGCAGTTTGATAGCGGCCTTTTTCCTAGCGAACAAACATGCAGTTGACCAAGCAAGGGTTGAACGAGACTTGTTTTGTATGTCGGGACCCTCCATTTCCTCAAAGAACGGCTGGGAGGACAAAGCGGACAAGATCCACGAGTTGTGCATCGAGATCGAGACGAGCCGGCCCTGCAGATTGCTGGGAGCCACTGCCATTGACGACAAGCTGCAGGATGAGGTGCCCGAGACCATCGAGCAGTAGCCTGGAGCAAGCGCTCGACGTTCGCTCGCTCGATCACGCAGGCACTCACGAATTGGAGAGGAGCAGGACTCCATCGAACGTAGATGGACCACTGGGACGCTTTGGAAAGGGGACCAAAATAAAGTCGACCTTGGTGCTCGATTGGTCAAAACTCCCTCTATTCCCCCTGACATCACATCTCGCTTTCAATTGGCCCAGATGTTTAGCACCACAAAAGGGAAGACCCCATTTTTGGTGGCATTCAAGTTACCACAATTGGCGGGAAGCGTAAGCTGAGGCTGAGATTGGCAGGCGTGCGAGTGCCTTGGCACAATTTTCTTCGGCGGCAGCTCAAAACCTTGGCGGAAGGTATGAATTCGGGGACTGTCCACAAATCAGGTAACGTCTAGTTTGTGGTTTGGATTGGTTTTGGGGATCTGAAGTGGGAAACCACCCCTTAACCACCAAACCGCGAATCCAACCCACATATTAGAGGGAAGCTGACAAATAGGTTCGACCAACCGTCCCTCGAAAGCTTCTCACATGCTTTGGGCAGCCGGTTTTGCACCAGGCCAGTCACAATCGAAACCTGGGTGCAGGATATCTATCCTGTTCATTCTTTACATGGCCGGCAGCCGTTTTAGTATCAGGTTTTGATTGTGATTCAGGTTTTGCTTGCGACTCGTGGCATTTGGGTGTCTTTTTTTGTTCGGGGACCCCCAATGTTTGTTTTCCTCTTGGGGTTCCTTCAAAACCACAAAAACAACAGGTACCCTCCAAAAAAGTCAGGTACCTTTGACACCAACAAACAAGAACGGGTACCCTCCCAAAACAACGGGCTCCCATTTTCTCCAGCGAACGGTCCGTGAGGTCTGGGTGCTCACCGGTGACAAGGTGGACACGGCCATCAGTATCGCCATGTCCTGCAAACTTCTCACCGAAGCCATGGACAACTTTGTCATCGACAACAACACCGAGGACCAGCGAATCGCCTGGAGGTATTGATCTTCTTATTTCTCCACTTTGTTTTTTTTTTTTTGGGGGGGGGGAAGATGCCAACCCCTGACTTGGGAAAAGATTGGCATTTACCCTGGACAAACGGGGGTTGTCCAAACATCCCCTGAAGTTGGAGCGGTTGTTGCCGAGTTCCGGCTGCCGGGGATCCCTTTCAGCTTTACTGGCTGGTTGTGTGCGTGAGAGTTTGTGTGTCAGTGGGGATGCAGCCCGGGATGCTTGCCGAGGCTCACTGACATCCTGAATGCTGCGCTGGAAGCCGAGAATCCGGCTTTGACAATTGCAGGAGTGGGAGCATGTGGATTCACTAGCTGTGGAACCGTGTGAATCATTTGATGCGTTGTGTTCCCCTCCTCATCCTCATTACAACGACTCTGTTTCATTGCCAGACTCGGAATCCTGAGGTTTCTGCTTGCAAACGGCAAGCTCATCAACTTAGCTCCTCTTGATGGCTGCGTTTTCCGAACTACCAACATTTCTGTCTGCAGCTCCAGTTTCTGTGATTTTCTATTCTAAGTGATCACTGTGGTATCACTCGGACCGGCCACTCTAGTCGGTATCCCTTCGCTCCTTTGTCCCTTTGGTGTTCAAAGCTTACCTCAGGAATCACCTGGATTTTCGACACCCATCTCGAGGTTCTTGTTCCGCGATCGCCCAGCATTGGCCGTTTCAATAGGCTCTACTTCCGGGTTTTGTGGCGGTGAAAGGTGAGGCGTACCGACGATACCATACGATACCCAATACCCGCATTTTTTCAGGGTAATTATGCTAGGGTATGATGTCATCTGACTAAGAAAGCCAGTTTCTTCAAAATTGCCAACTGGAGAAGTGGGGTCACTTACAGGAGCAACATCTAAACGGGGTCCAACGCCCTGCCACCCCATTGGATGACTACAATACGCCAAATCAGGGATCGGTTTTTGGGGTCTGTAAACTGTGCAGGGTTCCATTCTTTTGGACTTCAACCATGGCTGATGTCCCATTGAAAGAGATTCCTGAGTTTAAGTCGATCTGGGCCATTTTTTGGGATCGGAATCTCCTTTTTGGAAAATGGACCCTTTGGGGTTGCTTCCATCAAATGTAGAGGAGTACCTGGTCAAAACATGGGGCTGTCTCAAAATAGACCCCCCCCCAAAAAAAATGGCGAAGGGTTGCCCTACTGTCCTTCAGCCAACCTTTGTCTGGGAGGGTACCGCGCCTCAAAAAAAGGACAAGCCACCCATTTGTGGGTTGATCAAAAGGTCCGGCAAACATGGGATGACCATTGGTTGGAAAATCGCAAAGATTTGATCTTTCCAAAATGGGCAGATTCTTCGTCAAAACTGGGGGCCTTTCACGGAGCATAAGAACCCCCATCTAGTCGTAGCCAGCGTGATTTGTGGCTGATCGTCTCACGAGGTCAGCCCCATCCCAACTTCGGCTCTCGCCAGGTTCGAGGCTGGCCGAAGCCATGGAATGCCCCGAAAGCCGCGCGCAGCTGTTCCGAGTGGGACAGCGCTGCAGGCCTCGGGGGTCAACCGGGTTTTAAAAGAAGAGGGGAATACGTGTACGGGGTGCATCTTTGTTTCAGGGCACTGTTTTTTTCCTTTGGGGGGGCGGAGGGTTTGAAAGGAAGCCCACAAGCAAACACGGTTTAGGGGAGACACACCCATGTATATGTATGTATACATATATACACATCAACTTCAATGGCTTTGATTCATCCACTTGCCTGCGTATCGCCTGAACAGGTCAGTGGTGTGCTGCCGCGTGTCGCCAAAGCAGAAGGCGGATGTCGTAGATTTGGAGTCTTGGTCCGAACTCTGTGCCTAAAACACAGACCCATGTGATTCCCTTTCCCTGTCTACTGTTGACCCCGGATTAATAATCCCGTGGTTGATGAACGGGGGGAGTCCCCTTAGTGCGGGTTGTTCATCACTTTTGGAGGGGAACACCACAAGAATAGGACACGTGTATCAATGCAGGGTCAACATTGGGTAAGCAAGGGAGCCAGCCTTAAACACGAGGGAAATTGCGAAGTTACCTAGTGGTAACTGGGGTTTAGCTGGACAGACTATGCGCCATTTGCACAAGGATCTGATAAGGCGCATGCAGTCATTTTGGTACAACCGACCATGAACAGGCTTTGCGCGTTGCTCAAATGCTTCTTTTTGCAGGTGTGCTTGTGGCACTTTAATTGGTGAAGTCCGGACTCGGGTCCTTCCCAGGTCAAGACCATGGACAATTCTGCGGTGACTCTTTCAATTGGCGACGGCGTGACCTGGCTTAGGATTATTCGCATTGGGGATGACAGGCGCCCGGAACCAGAGGCCAGGTGTGCGATCTGAAGCGACTTCAAACTCTGAAAACCGATTAGGAGCGAGCACCAAAATGGATGCCATCGTGGTGCTCATGCCACTTGCAAAGTAGCAAACCCTACTGTATCCTGGATGGGCACACACACAAACATTGAGAAACACAGTAAACACAGCTACCAACGGATTTGTCCCCTGAGCCACAATCAAAACCCGGGTAGATGAAGGTTGATCATGTTTTAATAGCGCGTTTGATTGTGACTCGACTTGAGGCCAACGACGTTTCCATGATCGTGGCTGCCCATGTTGGAGTGGGCCTCAGCGGAAAGGAAGGCGCGCAAGCCGCCTACGCAGCGGACTTTGCGCTCCCAGAGTTCCGGCTCTCCGGCAAGGACTCGGTTTCAGCGTCCAATTTGGCAGTGCCCAACCCCCCCCCAGTTCCTATTTTAATGGGAACCCCGGATGAATGTATAATACAAGCCCTGCTGAAAAATGGGGCCCCTGGTTCGGACATCTTTTCATACCAGGTTTTGATTGTGAAACAGGGGGATGGGGCGTTCAACTAGAGCAATGCCCAACCCTTCCTGTGTGGCTTACAAAAGCCTTCAAGAGCATGTTGGTGGAACTAAGAGTCAATGGGTTAGTGCCCAACACCGATTCCCGTTGGCTGTTCTGTTGCTATCTGTGGTAGTTGCTGTTTGCTTGTCTACCTGGTTTCATAAAGCTTATAGCAAGACCGGATAAAGCCAGGAAAATAGCCCTGCGGGCGCTGCTTGTTTCGGGTGCGTGAAAGCCCATATTTTTTTCAGTGCATCTAAATTGGGGCGTTTAAATTCAAAGGGAGCCAAAGTCGAAACTAGAAAGCCGGGGTTCTCATCATGCATTGGGTGTTTATAGATATCCTCATTTTTTGCCCGCCACTTTGCTTCCTTTTTCTCCTTTGACCTTTCTAAGGTTACTCAGGCGAAGCGTGTTCGGCCACGGCCGGGAGGCGTACCGAAGGAATGCAGTGATCTGTATTTACAGCTTCTACAAGAATCAGGCGAGGACGAAAAGTGTTGAAACCTCAAACTTAGAGAGGGGAACGCCCTGAGCGGTATTCTTTTCCATACAAAACAATGCCTTCTTTAGGGGAAAGATGAACAGGGGCGTGCCGGAAGTGCTGAAACAACGAACCTCTTGGTCCCCCTGATCAGGTGAACAGGGCAAAACGTGTTTAAACCCCTTCCTACCACCTTTTTCAAGGGGAAAGGCGAACAGAGTCAAAACGTGTGTAAGTAGCTGACCTAGCAAAAGGAGGCTGTTTGAACAGGTGTTTTAGGTGTTTCTGTTGGTATCGCCCCATCCTTTCAGGTGAACGTGTTGATCACCATTTTGGCCGCAGCTGGGAATGCCTTCTCCGGCGCCAATGTAGTGAACCCCTGGTTGATGCAATGCTTCAACATTGTGCCGTGGTCCAACGAATCTTTCTGCGACCTTTTAGGAGCCCTTTCTCACACCAAAACGAATCGACTGGATCTGGCTGGATCTGGTGTCCCCTTTGTGGTGCCTCCCAAAGTTGGTAATTAATCCTTTGCTGTCTGGCTCCTTTGGGCAACTGAGCCATCGAAAGACGGGTAGATGGAGGTTAGCAAGGGAAACTCCCAGCCATAAATTGTGGCCGCCTTCTTAACTCTTGAAGCATGGTTCTGGGATTACGACAATTTTAATACCGGGTTTTGATTATGGCTCAACTGAGCTTATGGCTTTTTCATTGATCCGACAGATCTCACGACCTTTTGCCCGAGCTGCCCAGGTGCACTGCCACACGCCGATCATCATCTATGGCATGTACGACAGGTGGAAATGTTTGGACATGTTTGGAAACAAAGATACTGTGGATGGCCCCTTTCAAAAAGGGTGGAGCCATATTTCCCCTTGAAGGCCCTCAACGGGAACGGCTTCAGCGGTTCTTTGTTCCGGACATACTGATGGACGCGAAATCCAGAAATCGCGCCACGAAATGAAGCCATGGTCGAAATCATCGGTTGCTACGGTATTTACAAGGGAATCATCATTCTAGGGTTTCTCAGGACCAACCAAAGACGATTTCCTGTGTTTTTTTCCCGCAGTTTGAACATAGACAAATGGCAGTGGGGCAAAACCAATGGGATACTATTTTGGGGTAGGTGCACCACCCATTTTAGTCTATAGTGGGGATTGGGATGTTCACTGGGGGCTAACCGGGCATACCCATGGCCAAATCGGACCAAGTGACCTGAAGCGGGCTCCAGGTCCTCGGATCTGAGCGACTTGGAGCGGGATCCGAACGGTCATTCCCCCCACTTGTTCGGCTTTGCCGCTTGGCCGATCTGAGCGTGTGGCAGTTCTCTTTGCGGGTACGCCGTTTTCTGTGGGGGGTACGCCTTAACGGAAAACAAAAGGGCAACCAACATTTCAGGGGGTCCCCTTCGAAAAGATGCACCCACACAGGCACACATGGCTTTCTTCCGAAAACAGGGAGCCAACACGGGGGGGGAGGGGGGGGTATAGTTGGGTTCCCTTTAAATGGCAACCAAAAGAGGGTCTACCATGTTGAGGTTGATAGACAGAAATCCAGCCATGCAAATCTATGTTTTTTGGTTTCCCTTCAAAGAAAGAGCCCCGTTTTTGCTTTTGTTTGGTGGTTTCCTCTTCTTTTTTGGTTTTCCCTTAAGAAAGAGCCCCGTGTCTCTCCCATCCGCCGAGGACATTCAGCTGATGTGGATGCTCACCGCTTTGCTGCAAGCGATCATTGTCACCGGCGGATGGTCCACCATCGGGGGCATGGCAGGCAGTTCTGTCTAAAGAGCCTGAAGCTCTGTGTGTGTGTGTGTGCGCTTCTTTTTTAGAGGATGCCAGCTTTTGGGTAGGTTTACAGGAAGCCAACACAAGAAACTGCCATGTGCCCATTTTGTTTTACATAGCCATCAATCAGTTCTGTGAACATGAAATCTGTCAACCCCCTGCAGACGATCAAGATAAAAGTGCAGGTTTGGGTTGGGCCATCCCCAATAAACCCCTTGTCGTCGGGGACCTTCTTTCCAGCATTGGCAGGCAGTAGCGGCCCAGATCTGTCGCACACGAGCCTTCTGGGGAATCTGTGTTTCGCTTCCATCGTCCTTTGCGTCAACGTGGTGCTGATGTTCCGTCAGAACAGCTGGCAGGGCCCTCAGGGACTTTCTTCGTTGCTCTTTTTCGCGGCGGGGAAATCCGACAGGAAACCGATAGGAACCCGAAGCCCGTTTCGAGGCTTGGCCCAACTTTAGTGGTTTCCCCTTTCTGTTTCCTACTGATGGAGAATGTCCTGCACGGTTTCTTAGGTTGTGCGAAATGTTCCCAAAGGCCCAACAGTTGGGCCTCCGAACCGCAAGAACTTTTGGGCGCGTGTCGTTTGCAGGGATGCCCCGAAATGGCGCAACGGTGTTCCTTTTGGCTTCCCTTTAGCCCAACCCCAAGAAAGGGCTGCCAAAAAGAAAGCCGAAGAGCAAAACCACCTGGGTCGACCTGGGTTGAGTGGCCTCGCGTTCGAGGCCAAAGAGCATCATCGCCTGCTACGTGGGCAATGGCATTGGTCTGGTGGTGACGATGATGATCTGTGTGCCGAGTTTATCTCAGGTCCTTACCGGCGGCAACTGGATTCGGGTCGGCGCCTGGGATGCGAACTCTTTGTTTGGCTTTGACGCTTTGGGCTCGGGTGACGTGCTGAAGATTGGGGGGGGGGGGGGGCGCGATGTGTTTCTCGAGGTTTGACCATGCTCGTCATCCTAGCTCTGACCACAGCTGTGGGTGAGATCATCGTCTTTGCCACAGAGGTACTGTTTTCACAGGATCCGATCGCAGAGCCAAGAGACTTGACAAGAGAATTCACCAAGACGGGATTCTAACGTTGGCCCCCAGAAAAGAAAAAAATCCGTCCTGGTATATTGGGCTGTGTTCCAGTCCTCACTGAAAGGGCCACCCCCTATCAATCAACTAGTTAGGAATTCGGGGTCCCCAATATAATATGCTGCTTGGCACACTCCAGTTCATTCGCAGTGTGTATTCTCAAATCTTCTCATGGTCTGTCTAAGGTACTCATTTGTAGTGAAACCTCTTCCCAGGAACACCCCCTCAAATGTTTGGTGGCCACAATTCTCCATGTGGGCGTGCATCCAAAACAAGGGACACCCAAATCAGTAGTCTTCCTTTTGGTTTCCCTTTGCAACCAACCCGAAAAGGGTACCCTGAAAAGAACGCAAAGTAAATACTGTCCACGAAAGGGCCCCAAGTTTGAAAACATAGGCAATGGACAGTGTGTTTTTGGTTGGAGAGTACTCCCGCCATACACCCCTGTTGGCCATTTTGGAGGGGGTTCCACTACTTGGTTCGATTGGTATAGCCTTTATACACCTTTAAAACCATCTTGGAGCCCAATCACCGCCAAAAAAAACACCAACGCCAAGCTAACACTTAAAAACAGCCGCAGAAGCCCAACACACCAAGAAACAGCAAAATAGCAAGCCCAAAAACGACCACGCAACTCATTTGGGTCTGTCTTTTGGGCTTAAGGGGCAGCCGAATGGAACACCGTTGCGCCATTTTCGGGGTCCTTTATTTTCTTGCTGGTGCGACAGGTCGGGAATGAGGGAATGAACCCAGGAATTGGTCCCCTTAAAGCAAAGCACAAGGGATGGTCTATCGATAGGGAATGTGGGAACGAAGATTAGGGATTTTGCCTAAAAGGAAGCCACCAGTTGGATGCTTAATCTGGGTGATTCCATTTCTCATTCCCTGCTGAGCAAGTTTTAAGACGCGCGAAATTCAGCTCAGGGCCGGAAGATTTCGCTGGCAGCGTGGTCTCCAGCGCCTCGCAACCCCTGCGCCCGCTGCCCGAACCGCTGGAGCGGAAGCGCCGCATGTCCTTGGGCTACGCCTTCTCAGAGGAGCCTTGGGCGAAGTCACAAACGTAACCTGCAGCTCCCCGTTTGCCACTTGAAACCATGAAGAAGCCACCGTTGGTTGGTTTTGCAAGAGCGCATCGCTCGACATTTTTCAGCTGAATTCCGGTGGGTTGGTGGTGGTGTGTTTTGCTTTGGAGGTGGTATTGGAGGGTTTTAGGGGGTTTGGGCCCTCCAAACCCGAGTGTTGCGGAGGTTCTTGGAGGGCGGAGATGATCCATGAGATGATAATAGTCATAACAGCTGTGGAGGGTTTGGTTTGGTTTGGTGGTTTGGACCCATAGCTATCAGCTTCCCTCCAGGATATGATAGTTGTTTTTCCAAGAATACTGCACTTGGGGTTTTGAAGTGTAGAGGGTACATGGGAAACATTGGGAAATTATTTAGGTACATCAGCTTCCCTCTAATTGGTTTTGTTTGGTGGGTTGGAGGTCAGCTACAAGAACCAGACCTCACCCTCCCCCATTTGTCCAATGCCAGGGGGGGTGGATTTTAGCTGGTAGACGACCGTTGTGTTTTTGGGGTAGCGCCCCCCTCGACCCGACCCCCCTCAACCCGACAACTAGCCTGCCTATCCTTCTGCCAGAAACTTGAAAGGCCAAGATGTGCATGTTGCATGTGTCACAAGAAGTAGAACCCAATGTTGGCCGCACGTTCACTGACCAACATGAGTTGCCGACCAGTTGCCCACTTGGGCGGATCGGCAGCAAGTCCACACTGCATTGGCCATATCTAGTGCCAGGAAGCTCGTAGAGTCTACACGGAGACCAGCGCTCCAGATCGCAGTGTCCATCTTGCTCCACAAAGCGAAATGGGTCTCCACAAAGGAATGAGTAAAGTCGCTCTTGTGACTGCGCAATGTCGGAAGCGAATCGAATTAAAGCGGGTCAGCGTTCATGGCCTGATGACGCCGGGCCGTCTCCGGTGGTCAGCAAGCCGGATGAGTAATATGGACGCCACCGCTTGGACATGCGCATTTTTGGCTTGGACCTGAGGTTGCAAGAGTCCCACTATCACATTGCTCGGCGCGAGCAAAAATGGCACCACTTCTATAGTGGCCCAAAGCGAATCAACCAAGGTCCCACAAATGTCTACTTCCTTTCGGCAAATGATACATAGTGAGAACAAAGATACGCCCATTCACCAACCTGAAGTCTCGCCCTGTGGAACGGTTCGCTTTTTTGGCACATACATATACATATATATATATATATACATATATACATATATATATATATACATGTTTATACATACAAGGGACAGTTCCTTTGCCGGATCAACAGTCGTTTGCATTTAGCGCTTCCAACACGAGGCTTCCTTTTGCTTTGCGTTTAAACCAGCCTCAACCAGGGCGCCGCAGGAGTGCTGCTTGGAGCGGGAGCGAGACAGCTGGAGCTTCAAGAGCCGGGGTAGTTGCCTCGCAGGGCCAAAGTTGTCCTTGTCTCATATATCTCATATGCGCCTTGGCAGGGATGACTCTTTGTTCAGTATCTCGTTGGGCGTGGTTTGGTTCAAGGCTGGTGAAGTTTCTTTTTTTGGGGGGCAATTACTTTTTCAAGTGTTCTTCCCCACCCGGCAGGTGTGGGGTTGTTAGATTTTAAGTAACACCCAACCTCCACAGCCTCGCCCGCAAAGAGCCTGTGACAGACTCAGATGTGGCAGCCGGATCTGACAGACAGATGTGACAGAGACAGAGAGTCATTGCCCGCCACCGATGTCACACCTGCGACAGCCCAAAGAGACTCCGGGAAGGCCTCGCCAGTGGGTCCGCCGCAGCGTTGCCGCAACCACAGCCCGAGGCTAGCCGGCGTTGCCGCAGCCCGAAACATGAAGCCCCTGGTGGCTGCCAACAGCCCAAAGGCTGAGGCTCCCGCCAGTGGCCGGGCCAGGACAGCGCGCCGCCGAAGAGCTGGCTGGAGCCAAAAGCTCTTAGCCAGAATATCTCGAAAAGACTTAAGGTGCACAATGCAAGATTTGCTTTCATGTTGTCCACGCAGCCCTGTGAGCTTCCGCCGAAAGTGCTTTGTGCTCTGCTTGGTACCACAAAACTATACAGAAGGGGTCGTCATGGGGGCTGAGTTTTTTCAGATTCCTGGGGGCTGAGTTTTTCAGATTCCCGGGGGCTGTTTTTTCAGCCAACAAAACAAAAACAAAACAACCCAAAAAACACAGCTCATCATTTGCATCTGCTAGTTCAGGGCCATGGGTCTCGTTTTTTTGGGTGGCTCACAAACACCAAGAAAGCCAACACAAATAAAAAAACGCAGCCCATCATCTGAAGACAATACTTTGATGATGCTTTCTTGGTGCAAGCTTTCTTGATGCAAGACATGCAATAATATGATGAGATGTGTATCAACAGAACATAAGCCTCTTCCAAGGTATTCTGCAGGTAACTCCAGGTAACTGGAGATAATTTATCTCATCTCTCATTTCATCTTCTGCAGGTAACATCTCATCACAAGCAATTGCTTGTGGCTCGTGTCTACTTGAATCATTCTGAACAGCTTTACTGTTGCAAGAGCTCTTCAGCAACACGAATAGCTGCAGAGAATCTTATTCCAAAGCTCTTATTCCAAAGCTGAACAGCTTTATGCAGAGAATGTTATTTGCGTCTGCAGATATCGTTGCAGGTGCTCATCTTTGCATCTTGTGCTTCTTGAGCTCAAGCAACTAGATTGGAGCTGTGCTCCAATTGCTCCAGCTCATTATGCGATAAATATGTTTGTGTTAGCTGTCTTTTCTCAAGAGCATGGGCAGAGCCCATGCGTATATTGAAATATTGAACATCCAACTGTAAAAAGAGCTGATTCTTGCAGGTGAAAGCTGCATAGATCAGCGATATCTTACGTTTCTTATGACTTCATATGCATGGCAAGCTGTGCTTGCCATACTTGCGTGTTTCAGAATTGCAACACAACAATAATATTTGTCCCAAACATACATCTGCTTGCAAATTGCTAAGCATACGTCTTCCAAAACCTTGCATACGTATGCAAATTGTGTTGAAGATTTGTGCCAAACATACGTGTTCCAAAAGTTAGCGCCCTGAGGTTTATAAACTTGGCATGCGTAAGCGTGCCAATTATCCAAAAAAAAGCTACAGACACACGTTTGCTAAATATATTTGTGTCCAACAATGATATTTGTGCAAAATAGTTCTCAACAGGCTGTCTTCGGTGTAGCTTGAAGCTAGCTCATTTTCCAGGTCTGGATGCATCTGAGTCTTCATTGGATCGAAAATGAATCTGTGCTTGCATGTCATCAGCCAAAAGAACCAAAAAAACGCACCCGAATAAATCTAAGAAATCACGGGTCTTGATCCTATATTTTTGGTTTTTTAGTGTTTTAATGGAAAACTCAGCCCCCAAGAATCTGAAAAACTCTGCCCCCAGGAATCTGAAAAACTCAGCCCCCACGAATCTGAAAAAACTCAGGCCCCGTGCCGACCCGCCCTCAAACTATACACCGCCGTCTATCTTCCAGATCGCTCAAAGAAACGTATTTTTTGGGGGTGGGTTCTTTACAACTTATTTGGTGTGCTGAACCATTTTGCTTTGAGGCAAAACCCTCCTTCCATCGTTTAACGGGAAAGCTCAATTAAGCCACTCGATTTTGCAGTGTTTCCCTATTTCGAGACAGTCCAATGCGCAGCTCCCATCTTTTGTGATTCGCAGAGGAATCAGGTGATGCAAAGAGAGCCCGGAAACCACTGTCATGTCAGAGACATTTTTGGGGCGGGTGTCTTCAGCCCTGTGCTGCCGCACGAGTTCTCGAACCACGCGTTTGGCCTTGCGAAAAGAGTTTGTACGGCTGGTGGTTTTCCCAGTGTTAGTTCTCTGTTCTCCAAATGTCACGACTCCTTCATTGAACATAAGCCCAAGAGGGTGGGTCAACAACGGTGCCCCAACTGGGTTGCTTTGGAAAATGGAAAGGATTATGCCTGCCGTTTCTTTTGTGGTTTAATTTTGACCCATACTGTGTGTGGACAAAATCCTGCACCACTTTGAAACCATGAACAAGCCACCGTTTGCTGGTATTTTGACAGAGGACTCACCAGAGGGTTCTTAGGGGGTGCGCAAAGGATTTGGTCCATCAGTGTCAAAAGGCCTCGTTTTGACCCACAGCTGTAGGTCGGAATCTTCCCGCGAGCCGCAGAACATTGAGCTGAGCAGCCTCCAAGCTGCTTAGTTCCGTGAAAACCGTTCCGTCTCACCACCCCATTATCTTAGGGCTTTCACCCGGCACCCCGGGGGAAATTGCCAACAGGGTAGTTCCAGATATCGATCCTGGTTTGAAATAAGTTGTTTGTGTTCTTTCCCTACGGGCCGGTATTCGGGCGAAATGCAACCCTAGAATGTGCAAATGCGGATGGTAAAAGGCTCCTGCCTGAAATGGACGGTTTGCTGTGCTGCCTGCTCTCGCGAGAAGTGACATTTCTCTCCGCAGAGGGTTTGTTTGGATCCAGATGCCTGGTGCGAAGGACGAGTTGGCAGCTCACACATAAGAGAATGTGTAGAACTTCAATAGCACACACGCACACATCCAACAAGAGCGCATCGTGGATGACATGCCCTGGCCTACCCCAAAAGCCCAGCCTGGCTGAAAAAACAACCCCGCGCCTGGTCGTTATGTAAGGGGCCGTCCCTTAACCCCCAGAAGCCATGAAGACACACATCAGGTCACAAACCATCGTAAATTTGCAGGGCCCAAACCGATACCCAAACCGATCCCCAACCGATACCCAACCATTGAGCCGCCGTGCCAAATCCAACCAGCTTGCCAAAATCTACTTCGTGTACTACATTTATACTGAAAAGTTGCGACTTCTGCGCTGGAGCTGCCAACATGTACTTCGTTTACCTACACTTACTTGCACTGAAAAGCTGCGACTTTCGTGCGTATACTACTGAACAGTTGTGACTTTCCAGCTGGAGCTGCCAAAATGCACTTTGTGTACTTCACTTGTGCTGAAAAGTTGCACACTTTCCACCTGGAGCTGCCAATGCGAACTACACTTGAACTGAAAAGTTGCGACTTTCCAGCTCCAGCTGCCAACATGTTCTTTGTGCGCCACACTTGTACTCAACAGTTGCAACTTTCGAGCCGGAACTGGCAGTTTGTGCTTCGTATACTGCACTTTACGGAAAAGTCGCGACTTTCGAGCTAGAGCTGCCAAAGCACTGCAAACTGATGCAGAGCAAAAAATCCGATACTGACCGATACTAGGGCATAAGGATACAAGGGTGGTCCACGGGGCTGTTTTTTCAACCCTAACTGTCCTTGTTCTGGGTGTCAGGAGCAAACCGCACCTTTGCAAGTAGCGTCGGGTCTTTTGGTTATTCTTCAGGGACCTTTGGTTGCTGGCACCAAAGTACAATCCTGTGGCATCCCAGAAGTTGTTTTTTGTGGTTTTAAGGGCACCAACAGAACACCCAGCATTTTAGTGGAGAAAAGACACACAGTCAAGTCCAGTAACGCGGATGCAATGCTCGGCCACCCGCTGCAAGTTCCCGAGGCTGGAGTGTGGGGTACAAAGCCACCGTGGGATTTGTTTCTCCCTCAAGAATTTGGGCGTGAACAAATTGAGACTCTGAATTTCAGAAGAAATCAGATGGAAAACTTATGTCTTGGGCGGTTTGTTTTGTTGTCATCTCGGGCCAGGCGAGGTTCGAAGGTTCGAGGGGCCTTCAGGGCTCTGCCTTGAAACGGGAAAAAGCAGTGGCGCTGCAACCCCGAAACAGTTTTTGCTGTTCCAGGTATCTCTGCTTTTAGGTTAAACGCCTGTTGGTCCACTATAAAATCTCCTTTTGGTTAAACATCGCTTTTTGGCCGACTTTGGAGGAACCGATTCCGATTTTGGAGGCTCGGAGCACCACCGGTTCAAATGTGTGGCGTCCGGGAAGATCCAGATCTAGCTGCGCGGTTGAATTAGCCCTTGGGTGTCAAGGTTCATGTCCGTTCTGACGTCGGCAATCTGGCAGAAGGCGGCCGAATCGAACCCGCCAGGCTGTCCACCAAGTTCTGCAATCAGCGCCTGCAGCGCTGCAAGCAGTCGGGGGGATGGCTGGAGGCTTTGCGCCAGCTGCGCCTGAAGGTGCCCTGGGAGAAACCCGCGGAGCCGATTTTCGAGCGTCCCAGATGAAATCCGGATTGCTGAAGCTGAGGAAGTTCCCTTGTTAAACGATTATCAAACGATCATTTGTTTGGTCTGGTCGCCTTGCAAGGGAAACCGTGCAGTGCCTTTTCCCTCATCGGAGTGGAATGAAGCAAAAAGACCACAGCCTTGAAATTACTCGCGCATCACCAGCAGTCTCCGTCCTGGCAGAGGCATGCCAACAACTGAAGTAATTTCGGCACTTGTTTGTTTTGTTAGGGTTGGAACAGTGGAAGGGGGTCCTGGTTGCCCCAGCTGTTTGGGGGCGCCAAGTGGCTGAACATTTCGAGCCCGTTCTCAAAACGACTTTTGAGGGGAAGTTCAAGGACAACATATTCAGCATGCTACGCTCGCTGTCATTGGCTTGGAGGCAATAGTTAAGGCGGTTTGGTAACCGCAAGCAGGTGTCTACGCTGACATGGCCGTCCAAACGCCCATGTCATGGGTTAGCGGGCATGAAACCCGCAGCCGACACATGGCGCATGCAACCGAGACAGAGTGGTTCTGACCAGTTGCATCGTCGCCAAGCAGCTGAATGTGGCTACCATTCTGACATGGGAGGACTTGCTGCTGGCCGAGGCTGGTGCTGCCAAGGGCCGAGCAGCCACTCTCTCTGTATTGCATGGCAAGTCAGAACACGCATGCAAGCGGGTAAATATGTTCGAAGCTCAAGGCAGCTACAGAAAGCTACCAATTGCAACACCATAGAAGCTGATGTAGGTAAACTGCGTGACCTGCCATAGCGCTACAACACAACTCCAAGCAAAGCAAGGAATAGGACAGGATAGCTAACTTTAGCTCCTTCTGTTCCAATGGCCAGAGTCATTTGCAATCAAGGCTGTCTCTGCATTGCGTGGCAAGTCAGAACACGCAACGTGTAATACACCGCCTGCCTTCTGCGCAAGGGCCAACTTTCGGGAGCCAATTCAAACGAACAATTTGTTGGAAGCTCAAGGCAGCTACAGAAAGCTACCAATAGCAACACCAAAGAAGCTGATGTAGGTAAACTGCGTGACCTGCCATAGCTACAACACAACTCCAAGCAAAGCAAGGAATGGGACAGGATTGCTCGCTTTAGCTCCTTCTGTTCCAATGGCCAGAGTCATTTGCAATCAAGGCTGTCTCTGCATTGCGTGGCAAGTCAGAACATGCAAGCGTGAAAACACCGCCTGTTCTCTGCACAAGGGCCAACTTTCGGGACCAACCAATTCCAACGGGAACTCGGTTGGAAGCTAGAGGCAGCTACAGAAAGCTACCAATAGCAACACCAAAGAAGCTGACGTAGGTAAACTGCGTGACCTGCCATAGCTACGACACAACTGCAGTGTGATTTGGCCCTGCTGGTGTGCGTCGTGACCTGCGGAGGTTTTCCCCCGCTCGCTAGGGGTTGTCGCCCCACCAGTGCCTGAACCCGTGTCAGGTTGGCACTTGCACCTATCAGTACAACACAACTCCAAGCAAAGCAAGGAAGTGGGCAGGATAGCCCACTTTAGCTCCTGTTTTTTTCCGAATGGTCAGGGACATTTCATTCAAGGCTGTTACATCTTAGATATCAGAGTCCGGAGGTTCAAAGTGCCTCAAGGGTCGCTTGCTGGGGCAGATTATCTTGATAGCGTGCCAGCATGAAGGGGGCCGGAGCTCAAGTCTAAAGCCTTCTCGGACATGCTTGGGAACACCTGCTCAGCTCGCCGAACCGCGGGCCTGCTGCACTTGTTGAGGTGGAAGAGCGCGCGAGTTGAGGGACCTTGTGCACGTTTTGCCCAAGAGGATGTTTCCGCGCTAAGCAGATCGAGACCACCCGGTGATCTCACCTCAGCCACGATGAAGGTGCGCAACCACTTTGGACCTTTCGTGGCTTTTAGCGAATGAGTGAAGAAGTTCATTCGCATCAGTGGCGTGCATCGCCATTGAGACACTTATGGCGCTTGCCGTTCCAGATCTTTGTGCCCTGCAAGCCAGACGGCAGAATGCCCGGCAGACGCATTTTGGGCTGCTGTTTCACTTTGCCTGGGCCCCAGCCCCAACTTTTGGATCACCAACCGGCCTCCAGCAGCAGAAGTAGGCCGATGTAGATGTAAGTTGCACAACGCAAGCATTGCGCGGCGGCCGTTGCCAGTGGAATGATTCGCATGCCATTTGAGCGTTGGCTTCACTTTGCGTGCAGAGGCCAAGGAGCAAAGTGTTGCGCTCGACATTGCACAGCCAAGCACGCTGTGTCAGTTGCCCGGCGAGTGGCGTTTTGACAGCCCATGAGACTGGTCGGCCGTAGGTGCCAAAGCTGTGTTATCGCCTCAGCTGGGGAGAGCCCGGAAAGCATGAAACCAAGCAAAGCAAGGAATAGGACAGGATAGCTAACTTTAGCTCCTTCTGTTCCAATGGCCAGAGTCATTTGCAATCAAGGCTGTCTCTGCATTGCGTGGCAAGTCAGAACACGCAACGTGTAATACACCGCCTGCCTTCTGCGCAAGGGCCAACTTTCGGCAGCCAATTCAAGCGAACAATTTGTTGGAAGCTCAAGGCAGCTACAGAAAGCTACCAATAGCAACACCAAAGAAGCTGATGTAGGTAAACTGCGTGACCTGTCATAGCTACAACACAACTCCAAGCAAAGCAAGGAATGGGACAGGATAGCTTATTGGGGGAGGACTCAGTTGTCTTTGGGCCACCTTGCCTTACCTTACCTTACCTTACCTCACTTCAGCTCCTTTCACCTCTGTGCCAGTGGCAAGGGGCATTTCAATCAAGGCTGTTACATCTTAGATATCAGAGTCCGAAGGTTGAAAGTGCCTCAAGGGTCGCTTGCTGGGGCGGATTATCTTGATAGCGTGCCAGCATGAGCGGGGCCGGAGCGCAAGTCTAAAGCCTTCTCGGACATGTTGGGAATTCTTCCAAGGCCGAGTCTTTTGCTTGTTGCACGCACACCTGCTCAGCTCGCCGAACAGCGGGCCTGCGCTCGTTGAGGTGGAAGAGCGCGCGAGTTGAGCCCAAGAGGATGTTTCCGCGCTAAGCAGATCGAGACCACCCGGTGATCTCACCTCAGCCACGATGAAGGTGCGCAACCACTTTGGACCTTTCGTGGCTTTTAGCGAATGAGTGAAGAAGTTCATTCGCATCAGTGGCGTGCATCGCCATTGAGACACTTATGGCGCTTGCCGTTCCAGATCTTTGTGCCCTGCAAGCCAGACGGCAGAATGCCCGGCAGACGCATTTTGGGCTGCTGTTTCACTTTGCCTGGGCCCCAGCCCCAACTTTTGGATCACCAACCGGCCTCCAGCAGCAGAAGTAGGCCGATGTAGATGTAAGTTGCACAACGCAAGCATTGCGCGGCGGCCGTTGCCAGTGGAATGATTCGCATGCCATTTGAGCGTTGGCTTCACTTTGCGTGCAGAGGCCAAGGAGCAAAGTGTTGCGCTCGACATTGCACAGCCAAGCACGCTGTGTCAGTTGCCCGGCGAGTGGCGTTTTGACAGCCCATGAGACTGGTCGGCCGTAGGTGCCAAAGCTGTGTTATCGCCTCAGCTGGGGAGAGCCCGGAAAGCATGAAACCAAGCAAAGCAAGGAATAGGACAGGATAGCTAACTTTAGCTCCTTCTGTTCCAATGGCCAGAGTCATTTGCAATCAAGGCTGTCTCTGCATTGCGTGGCAAGTCAGAACACGCAACGTGTAATACACCGCCTGCCTTCTGCGCAAGGGCCAACTTTCGGCAGCCAATTCAAGCGAACAATTTGTTGGAAGCTCAAGGCAGCTACAGAAAGCTACCAATAGCAACACCAAAGAAGCTGATGTAGGTAAACTGCGTGACCTGTCATAGCTACAACACAACTCCAAGCAAAGCAAGGAATGGGACAGGATAGCTTATTGGGGGAGGACTCAGTTGTCTTTGGGCCACCTTGCCTTACCTTACCTTACCTTACCTCACTTCAGCTCCTTTCACCTCTGTGCCAGTGGCAAGGGGCATTTCAATCAAGGCTGTTACATCTTAGATATCAGAGTCCGAAGGTTGAAAGTGCCTCAAGGGTCGCTTGCTGGGGCGGATTATCTTGATAGCGTGCCAGCATGAGCGGGGCCGGAGCGCAAGTCTAAAGCCTTCTCGGACATGTTGGGAATTCTTCCAAGGCCGAGTCTTTTGCTTGTTGCACGCACACCTGCTCAGCTCGCCGAACAGCGGGCCTGCGCTCGTTGAGGTGGAAGAGCGCGCGAGTTGAGCCCAAGAGGATGTTTCCGCGCTAAGCATGGCGAGCGCACACCCAGTGATCTCACCTCAGCCACGATGAAGGTGCGAAACTACTTTGGAGCTTTCGTGGCTTTTAAGCGAATGAGTGAACAAGTGAATCAGCGGCGTGCATCGCCAGTGAGACACTTAGGGCGCCTGCCGTTCCAGATCTTTGGGCCCTGCGAGCACATTATGACGAGAGAAGTTACCTGTAAATAAACGACTTGTAAGTAAGCATATGAAATAGCCGTTGGGATAGCGAATTACGCCGGGTAACATCTGAGCCGGAACAATAACCCGTTGCGTGTGTCATTGTAAGGCATGATCCCAGTTGTTTTGGACCTATCAAATCAGCTGCAGCAGGAGTGTGTTGCAGGAGCGGCCGCGCAAGTCAAACACGGGGCTGCGCAAGTGAGGGGCAAGTGAATCGCGCAAGTGACGCAGTGATGATTCATCATCATCATCATCGTCATAATAATCATCATCATGGCCCAGATTCTGGAAAGTATTCAGCGTTGTATCTTTCTCCTGTAAGCATGTCTCCTTTCCATAAGCTGGTTGGTAGGTGGAATTCCGCGCTTGTCCAGCATTCAAGGGGTTTCATCCAGGTTTCACCCGTCCCAACTGGTGTGTGGCCTGCATCCACAGTGCCAAACTGATGACATCACGTGGATGTGGGAAGCGCCACTTTTCGATCCGATGCGCTCAGGGCTTGCTTGCGCGGCG